TGACATGCTTGTGGCAGCTGGCAATGAAGAGGCAAAGGGTGCAAGGGGGTGCCGTAAGGACGCTAAAAGGGAGCTCTCAGAGCATGAAAGCACCTGCGCTACTTCAAACAGCGTCACGGGGCACAGAACCATACCCGGGTGGTCTACTCTGGTTTTCCCTTAAGCTTTGAAGCATTCACCACCTAGCTCTCACCTCAAAGCACAGAGTTTAGCTGGCCACAAGTTAAAACGCAGATGCATTTGACATTGTCAGCCTCTACAGAAAGTGCTAGCAATCGCTCTCGTAACTATAAGGCTTTAACTGTGGAAGAAAACAAACCCTCCGGATGATAATTCAAGTTACCCACAGGGGCACAACAGGCTGGCAGGTTGTTTCCCCTGCTGTCTGCCATAAAGCAGGGACCCGAGCTTGCGGGATCCAATCTGGCATCTTTCAGAGCCAATCCTCCATAAAGCATAGGGTAAAGGCAAGTTTTACAGAAGTTTTGTTGTTTGCTTCACAATACAGCTTGAAGCAGATGGACACCCCCCCTTACCCATCGGCTCCACTCAGTGAAATCTGAAACTGAGTTCTAAAAAGGCTGTATTTATTGTACTATTGTACTGACAAACTCTGATCACATAGGGATGCTGTGTTTTGGTTACAGTAGTACCACACATAGGTCAGGTATTGACACCAAACATTTACAAGGCTCAACTTAGCTGCTGTGACAATTCTGCCCCACGCTTGTGTGTTTCAATTCCAGGCAACAGACTGCTTAGAAACCATTAATAGAATCACAGAATAGTTTAGGAGGTGAACTAGAAGACGTTTGTAAACCATCAGTCTATTTTGGGAATTTTTCAGTTGCCGCCTTCACGAGGCTATTATCTGTCCATAGTTTCCCCGTCATTTCTTCTTTCAATGGTGGCAGTAACGGTAGCCTTTCAAGTATTTTAGTTCAATTCCAGGCAACAGATTGCTTAGAAACCGTTAATAAAATCAGAGAATCATTATAGGTTGGAAAAGACCTTTAAGATCATCAAGCCCAACCATTAACCTAACCCTGCCATCCCACCGCTAAACCATGTCCCTAAAGCCACTACCAGCCCATCTACACTGTCACTCGGGGAACTGTACAGGAACTAACAAAGCAGAATTGCACAAGGGCAAGAGCAAACACACGTAAGGCTCTATAAATATAGGTAGTTCTACCAGTAAGTTGTAAGAACATGTAAGTCCGGCCACCTGAACTACAGAGTCAAAACTTTACTTCCGGGATAACTAATGTTGTGTATTATCCATTTATTTAATAACAGGGTTGTTACAGCATGGATTTTCAAAGACTTGAACATTAAGGATTACAAGTCAAGTTCATTTCTTGGCACTCAGAACAATACCAAATCAAAAATTTTTATGAAAGTTAATTAACCTGGTGGAAATTCCACGTGACGTTACAGAGCCAGTTATCACTTGCAGGAATTTCTTAGATAAATGGAACTCATTTGCTTTACGCAGCATTTGAAAACTTCCCAAGCCAGAATATTCCTTCACGAGAGACTGCTGACTGACCTTTGGGAGGTAAAGCTTCGGTAGCAGCGCACTTCTGGACGGCTCTGCCTTCTTGACAACAAACGTCTTGGACGTCAAAAGTAAAAGGGAGAGCCCTGTCAAGCGAATTCCCAGTAGAAATGTAACAATTTTGGCAAAACTATTAAGAGCTTTCACTGCTCACCAAAATGCATTTGAAGAGCGGCTCGGCCTCCAACTCCGCTACAGTCCCGTTTCTCCAGTTGGAGAACTACCAGCCCTGGGTACAATGCAAGACGTTAAAATGACTTCCTCTGTATTCGCTACAGGGAACGCATTCACATCATGACATTTCAGGCTGTTCACAACTACAGAAGACTTTTCTGTGTTCTGCGTGAAGTATTTCTCATCACGCATCAAAAGTTGCCTCTGTCAGGCTCAACTCCTGGTGCTTCTGTTGGTGCCAAAGTGAAGGGTACCAGGAGAAAAACGCAGTTTTAAACAGACAACAGACCTTCTCATAAACTGAGGTCTTAATGGTTTTTAAATTGTCCACCTTTAGCTGCTTACAAGAAGAATTCCGTTTCTCGTAACTGATGAAGCGGGGAAGGAACCGAGTCTGGTAATAAAAGCTTCACCACATTGGCCCGGTATCCTAAAAGCAAGCCCCAGATGCTAACAGCGGTGTCCTACTTTTCATGCACCTTGTGTCAGAGCTGAAGGCCCCATTTCCAACGCAAGTATTTTAGCCCCAAGGTAGGCTGAAATCCCGTACTTGGGGTGGGAGAAAAAACACGCAGGGGGAGGCAACGCATCGCGCTCCCACCTGCTCCTTCTTTAACGCCCCGTGGGCCAGCCACCAGCGGGCGCACAGGCCCGAAAGCCTCCCCACCGCCCCCCGCCTCCTCCGGCCTTGCTGAAACCGCGCACACGGCACAGCAACGCGGCCCGGTCCGCGGGCGCTGCTTCGGGGGCGGGAGGCGGCGGAGGCAGCCCCGCCCC